AAAAAAAAAAAAAAAAAAAAAAAAAGGGAACAGGTGAATATGTAAAATATAATGTAGAGTAATACTATGGTATTTGTTATTTTCCACCGGAATGAAACTTTTTGCAGTACATGAACCAAGGGACTAAACCAGAGATCTTAAGGTCTTAAACCCTGATTTAACACTGTTGCCCAAGAGGAGAGAGAAACAAGGCGGCGGCGCCTGCTCCGCACACACTGCCACTGGTAACAGATTATCAGGACTTACTGTCACTTTTACAACGCTCCCACATCTGAAAGTGCGGAGTGTGTTTAGTGGCATCTCACGGGCTCGAACCTTAGACTTCCCAATCATTCTGTTAGGTACACTATACCTAGCTCAGAACGTAGAAGAAAAAACGACTGCACTTAATAAAAAATAGACAAGAGACAACTAAAATTATACTTGGGAGTTATGTAGAAGAAGAATAAGAAAAAAACGGTTTTACTGCATAAGAAACTGACAGTTAAATTAAGGAAGGGAGTAAATAGAATATTATTGGGCTTCCTGTTATCGAAGTGCATTTTTCACAAAGTTCCTATACTTTTATTTTGCATATTTAGATATGTTACTTTTAATGGGACGACAAATTTAAATGCTTAAAGTTAATTGAAAAATCCTGTCTGAGTGATTCCAAATTTTGATTCTGAATGAAAATTGCGAACAAAACGAGTAATTGAAAGTTAATCATCGGCGTCGTTAGACACTAATTCATTTATCGAATTTGGCATAAACTTTACTATCGGGAGTGTTTTTTATTACTTCTGAAACATTAAAGAACTGTCAAACGCACTTGCATATATCCAAGAAGCACGTGGACAAATAGACATATGAGAAAGGCAGATAGACAGACTAAAGAAACAAACGTAAGATTTAACAAGCTACATGAAGATCATTATTATAGATAAATAGTCAGCTGTATTTATCATACGGAAAAATACTCGTAAGGTAGAAAGATTAGATAAACCTTGGTTCAAGAAATCGCGAATTCGTCTGTGAAGAAAGAATTATTAATAACTACTTGTCAAAAACAAGATAACTATACAGTACAGAATCAAAAAGTGACGTATAAATTAATAAGAAAAGCTAAAAGTTAAAACGATTAGAATACAGTGAATCTTCAGATGGGTTTACTATAGGCGATATTTTGGCCGTAATCGAATAATATATTCCGAAAGCAGTCGTTGTTATGAGATAGCTAAACATATATATATATATGTAGATATATAAGGCGAAAAAATAGATATAGGCATATTAAACATTTAAATTATTTGTGACAAAACCTGTGCTTGTTAACTACTATGATTACATTCCTAAGAGACTTTCAAACGATTCAAATTTACCAAGCAAGAAAGGATTGACAACGATGTTTGTAGTAACAAATGTAAAAACACATGTGAAATTTTTAAATGCATAACTTCGTAGAAGAATAACTTGTTTGTTTGTTTTAAGATATTCGCACAAAGCTACTCGAGGCCTATCTGTGCCACTGCCCCTAATATTCAACTGATATATTAAGAGGGAAGGCTGCTAGTCGATACCGCTCAACGCCAACTCTTTGGCTATTTTTCTGGGATTGAATAGTTAGATTTAACCATCATTCTTATAACACACCCATGGCCCCAAGTGCGGAGCGCATTTTTGCGGTAACGGTCCGCGAACTATGATCCCTTGTTTTACAGTTCGTGCACGCTAACCGCTAAGGCCACGTCTGACCTCGTCAGTCTAAATTTTTAATCTCTGCTTATTGTTTAGTTTCTAATTTCGAAAATACGGCGTAACAATTGAAAACAGAAGTTTTCTTTCTTTTTGTTTACGTCCAAGTTTATGCATAATCTGATGCTGGTATGATCATCATGGAGGTAAAAATATATGATTCTATTTATAATAACGTTTGTTTGAAGTTACGTACAAAGCTACACAATGGGCTATCTGTGCTCTGCCCACCACGGGTATCGAAACCCGGATTCTAGCGGTGTAAGTCCGCAGACATACCGCTGTGCTACTGGGGGGCTTATAATAACGTAGTTCCACATTTTAATAATTATGCAGGAACGGTCGTGGTTTCGTATGATATAATTTAGTTCACATACTATTATCAATAGCTATGACTGTCAACATAAACATCGGCTTTATCAGAAAAGGTGAAGAAAGGCCTAACCGAAGCTCACTAAAATAGTTGGAGCAAACCACGAATATTTAAAAACGTGCCAATGCATAATATTTTTATGTGTATTTTGCATAAAAAGTCTTTTCGTGTGTTCGATAAAGTAGTTGGTTGCAAATGTCATACGTGTTCTTGAGTCAGAAACTATTCTAAAAGCACTTATGATTGGGTAATGGTAGCCAACCTCTTCTTCAACCAAAAAAAAAAACATTTTCTGGAAGAAGAAAGCAATATTTAAACCACAACCTCTGATTGGGTGGTTTAAACCAACAAATAGTATTCAGTGGAACTACTGGTTTCGTTTAATTCTGTTTTTTTTTCTTCTGTCTATTAATATATTCTCTTCTGCTGTCGACTCATTTTACATCTTCCATATTTTTATTCATCAGACGTTCATCACACTGTTTCAGAGCATGTTCTTTAATACTAAAAAACTAGTTGGATCTAAAAGCCAGATGTTCCTTAATTGTTTATTCTGAAGATCTCATGATAGATCCAGACTTAAATCTAGGACGTTGATATTGATATACGACTCCAGCCATCTGCCACTACTGTATTATTAACTTTAAACGTACAAAAAAAAAAAGAATTAATCCTGATGGCTCGTTTCGTTACACGCATCAACTTAATTTGAGGATATACCCTTGTTACATATCCTTATGTGTTTTTTTCTGATCAGTTGAAGACAGTGTTTCCAAATAAGGTAAACTGATAATATCCTTTTTATTAATAATGATATCTCAGTATTAACTTAAATTTAGCTCAACTAATCTTTCATAACTCTATCAATTAAATCTACTGGAAATCTATTCTTTGTTAAAAACAACTTTCTATTTTTTAAATTCTTCAGTCACTTTATATCATTGAAAGTTGGAGTTGTAAGGAATTCGATCGGATAGATGGCGTAACAATGGACTTAAGGATAGTGCCTATGTTGGCTAATTTGTTTATTTTTTCTTTTGCTTGTTGAATTTCGCATAAAGACACACGAGAAATATCAGCGTTAATCGTGCCTAATTTTGAAGTGAAGGAGATACGTTTGTATAATAGGACTTCATCAACACTCTTATAACACACCCACAGTTCTAAATAACGGAGCACGATGTTTTTTAGTGGTAACGGGACGCGAACCAAGTAACCTCAGACTCACAGTATGTTATACTAACCACTAGGCCACCACATTCCAATTTGTGTCAGTGTTATGGTGAATGTTCTGAATAATTTAAATCCGATCTACTAACAGATATATGTAGATGACACCTTTTTATTTTCTAGAAAAAGAAGGAAAAGTTGATGTATCATGCCTTGTGGGCATGAATTAAAAATAACAAGAATTGTTCATGAAATTGATGACTAAATTCATTGCAGGGTATGGAGAGAAAAAAATTAGTTTGAAATATTGTTATAATGCGAAAAAAATAATCTGATTATTGTTTTCAAGGTTCGTAATTAAGAGAGCTTAAGCTAACATTAGGATTGTGGAATTTCATGATGATTATATGTACAAATTAACGTACTATATATATATATAAATAAGGAATTGATATATAAGCTACAATTTTGAAAAGTGACGTTATTATTTGAACTCATCTATTGTTAGAGTTACTTATTAACTTTTGTATAAAAAGCAATGATTTGGTATCCATGTGCTGTTTACTGAATCATCTTAATAAAGCAAACAATAAATACATATATTATCGTTAAATCATTGGGCAGGAAACCAGAAGAGTGGTAGCACCAGTACTCAAGAGTTTCCAAAGTGAAATTGATAGTCTGTGCAGAAGAAGCAAAGCTGCAGAAGCGGCCTTTTTAGCAGTTTATAAAAAAATTATTGACCTTCCAGGTAAGTTGTTTCTTGTTATGTGAACTTGTCTGTAATCAAACGTGTGATAACAACGAACCTCAGCATCAAATATTTGATGATCTTTTCCCACACACACACAGCGTTTGGATGCATTAGCTGCATGAGCAAATTATTGATTGAAAGAACTGCTCTTTAAAAGATTTTTTTTTACTATATGAAAGGAATTTGTTTTATCTAATTTTGCGGGATTTTTGTTTTGTTTTCAGAATTTCTCATAATGTTAAGTATCTGAAAAATTAAACTTCGTGAGATATAACTTCTTTTAATGAGTATCGAAGAATGAAGCTGAACACCGCAGACAATTAATTATAACGAAAAGTTAAAGCAGTTTAGATTATGTGTAGTTTAATAGAAATCAGTAAACACCTGCCCCTCTCTATTACTGAAACTCCAAATTCACGTGTTCAATTTTGGCACACATTTAATTTAAGTACATATTTTACGTTTCTGAAATGAAAGATTAAAAAGTAAAATTGTTTGGTATTATTTAAAAAATAAATCCCAGTATATTGCTGAGACCGCTTCCTATTCTAAGTTACCTCTCATGAGGTGGTGTTTAAGTACAAATACCCTCTAATTAGAATGGGTTATTTTTTACTATAGTCCATTACTGTGCAAAAAAATTGTTAGCAATAGTAAGATGACAGAATGTGTTTTCATAATTAATATTTTCACTTGTTGTAAAGCGTCACTTGTTTCAAAATAAACTTTTATCTTTAATAGAATAAGTTCTTAAGTGAGTAAATAACTTGATTTTAACAGAGAATTGGGCAGTTTTGCCAACAGAAGACACGGAAATTTAATGTATCAAAAGAAAACCTCAAAAAAAGCTCTGAAGCTAAAAAAAAAGAAAGTCTTTCATAGGTTCGTTTCAAGAATTTAAATTTTAGAATGAACATGTAAAGTTGGATTTCAAACTTAGTATGTCATCTTTCCCATTTTTAGAAAAACTAATATATTTGATTTAAAATAGACAATGCTAGTATAAGCTTAAACGTATTTATACATGGGTATCAGAAACCTGAGGAAAAACACAAACAAAGTTAATGTGAAAATAAGCATTTAATGGCTGATTTACGTGACTTTCTATTTTATACTATCATGTATTTTAGAATCTTTTATCTCTTTATAATGAGTCATTATTTTGAGCCAATTCAAGTTGGGAAAATTGTAAATATATCGAAATTTATGAGGAACCAAAATGGATGCTACCCCTGTAATGTAGTAGGCTAATCCCTCTTTTCCCATGCCCAGTTTCATCAACAACTAGGCCAAAAGCAGTTTGCTTAGATTAAAACGGACAGCTGAATAATCGAAGGTAGGAATTTGCTGTGATACACAAGTGTTAAATTTAATGCGATTATTGTGTTTTCTTAAAAAATAAATAAACAGTGTGAAAATCTATGAAAACCAAACTGTCACAAACACAGCACTGGTGCACGAACTCTCAGACAGATTTTAACCCGTTCCGTCGATATCTTGTCGACATTTCTCGACAAATCGGATTACACGGCTATATGCCTTAAGTATAATATTTTAGCTACCTTTCCAAAGAAACTGAAGAGAACCAAATGGGTGATTAGGCTATAAAACCTTAATATCTATCGCAGACTAATGCTATTTCATGGCGTGCAAGAGAACAGCCCTTCGTGACAAACGACAATCATATCTAAAAGACGACCTAACAGAAACAAGCTTAGGGTTGCGGCTTCTGGTCAGGTGACGAAGTCTGGCGCATCATGGTTCTGAGCTTGCACGTGAAAAAGGTTGTACTTAGTCAAATTACAATGTACAATCTTATATGTTGGGTAGAAAAGAATCAGGAAAAGTGATTGAAGATGCTTATGTCTTTCTTTATTTACTAGTTTATGTTTCATTATAATATGTAAGAAGTACGAAATAAACTCATAACCAAGTAATTGGTAATCAGCATAAATATTATTGTCTAATCATGAAAGTTGTCTCATTTGCAAGCTCGTGTAACATAACTTGATATCATAAGAAAAGTAGGAGCTTAGAGAAGTGTTAAAATGAATATGAACGTTGGAAACAAAACGGTGGAAAACTAACATCAAAAACTATAAATGGCGCTAGAACTACTTTTGTCTCAAGAAAGTTTTAGATGCGGAGAAAGTTTTTCAGTTTTAAATCTAAACGATGCAAGAAAAGAAAATACTGTTTATTTATTATACAATATTTCAAACGTGGTAAAAGTTGATCTAGTGTTAATAAACGCCACAAAATATTTTAATTGAATAATAAACCTGGTAAAATGTTTTAATTCAACTTGTACGTAACATGTTCATGATCCTTGCGTGTATAATATAAGTAAACCCCATATATTTGTAACCTCATTAGAAACAGAACGGGGATTTCAATTGGTTAAACATGTTGTTACAGTACTTTCAGGCTTGCTTAATCCACATACTCATTGATGACTTATAGAAATTGTAAGTGGAATTATTATGTCAGTGATATTTGGGTTAGAATAAGTATATTTTGATTGGCAGTTGGGCGTGGGCCATCATTTAAGACGAGGAAACCATTTTAAATGTTTTATTTGTTACTGCCTACAACATTGCCATTGACATGCTGGGTGTACAATGCATATTAATAAAATTTCCGAAGGACATGACCTTGAAAATGACTGAATAACGTCAGTGGTAATTTCATGAAGTAGGTCCACAACGCCTCATTTCATACTACTAATAATTATTTTCCTATACTTATTTCTCAAAGGGTTTCTGAATCGCCCTATATATATATATAATTTCGTTTCTGTGTGCATTTTATTTTATTTTGAAAATGTAGAGTGGTACCTGGTGTGTAGCTAAACAAGTCGTGGGGTGACAAATGTAGAGTGGTAATTGGTGTGTAGCTAAACAAGTCGTGGGGTGACAAATGTAGAGTGGAAATTGGTGTGTAGCTAAACAAGTCGTGGGGTGACAAATGTAGACTTGTATATATCCACGTAAGTATTATGATAGGGAAAGTTGAGTGATAACCCTGGTATATGGATATATAAATCTTGGGATGACGAATGATGGGTGATTAAACACACTGGTGTATAGCCACACGAGTACTAGGATGACGAATATAGAGTAGTAACGTTTGAGTGCAGCCACACAGGTCTTGGGATAACGAATAATGAGTGGTTAACCCTGGTGAATAGCCACACAGATCTTGGGATAACGAATAATGAGTGGTTAACCCTGGTGTATAGCCACGCAGGTCTTGGGATAACGAATAATGAGTGGTTAATCCTGGTGTATAGCCACACAGGTCTTGGGATAACGAATAATGAGTGGTTAACCCTGGTGTATAGCCACACAAGTCTTGGGATAACGAATAATGAGTGGTTAATCCTGGTGTATAGCCACACAGGTCTTGGGATAACGAATAATGAGTGGTTAACCCTGGTGTGGCTAAACGAGTCCTATGGTGATCAATGTCGAGCAGTTAACCCTAATGTACAGCCACGCTAGTGTAACGGATGTTTGCAGTTCTTCATCTAGCTGTTATTTAAATGATTTCGTTTTATACAAGCCTTTTGACTGGTCTTCATGATTGTTTCTCGCTGAAATCCATAATGTTTGAGAGGTAAAGGTACATTATCTATCAGCTTGTAATTTAACATAGCCTGGGATCCGTGTATCAAGCTGAGCTCATGTAATTTTCTGTAGAAAACAAAAAACGAATTACGAAAATGTTATCAGTTGATTTTTATGTTTATCTTTCTACCGAAGTGCATGGCGATTCTTCTCATGAGATTGATTCTAAAAAATGTGTTTGTCAACCTAAATTTTATGTGTGACAGACAGTATCTTTCGTAGATTGTGGTGCTGGACATCGAACCACATGTAAAATATTACAGACCGCGCGTGTACGATTGTATAAGACCTGTCTAATCACATAGAAGGAAATAAAAGGCAAAAAGAAACATTTATACACAATAAAATGAGACAACTTCTTAACTAGACTGTACGAGATAAATATTTGTAGGTTAAAACTTAGTATTTTGGTGCGAAAATTGTAAATTTTTACAGGTTTTAGTTATCGTTCTTTAAAGATCTGTGTGTGAACCCATTAAAAAAACGATGTTCTAATTGCGTTGATTCTGTGTGCAACGAGTATATAATTAAATTAATTAATTAATGAGTCAGCTAAATAGACAAATAATTAAATAAAATATCAAATAATTAGTTAATGTGAAAAAGGATTGAGAAATATTTGTTAATTTTGAAGTACTTTAGATTCATCCAGGCCACACTTTGAGGTGGCGCTTTTGGTCATGCTTCCACCTCCTCTCCCCCAAAAGTGTATCTTAAATTATTAAAATTATACATTAATGAATGGATTAGTTAAATGAATAATTAGAATATAAGATACTTAGTTAATATCTAAAAGGACTGAGAAGCGTTTGCTAAATTCAAAGTCGTTTAGTAGTTATATTTCAACTCTCATTAAAATGCCATTATTCAACTGAAACACACTACTTTTATATGAAAGTGTCTAGAAACTGTTTCCTTCCAATGTAGAAAGATTTCTTTTCGTTGTTTAGGGATCCCTATTTCTATTTCCAGAGAAATAAAACTTTGATCAGTACATAGCTTTGTTATTACTTGTTTATGTTTTGTTGAAACTTTTATCTTATCATAACTGTTGATAGATTTGCCTTTTCTACACTGAAGAGACATACTGAGAACTTCTGATCTTTTAACCAGCAAGTGCGTTGTACTACATTTCGTCCCAAGTTGTATTATTATTATTATACGTCATATAGAGTAAAATGAAAAATATCCGTATTATTAGTCAATCTATTGTTCCATCTATCTACTTGTCTATCTGTATGCTTATCTTTTGTCTAAGAATAATCCCTTTCTTTCGCTAATTATTTTCTTATGAGAGGAAAGTGACCCTACTTTATCAGCTCCGTACAAATGCACGCCATTTTTGTCTTTTCGGACTGATTTCACGAA